TTGTGTCTGCGCCCACACATAATCGTGGTAACTGCTTAGACTGGGTAGTTACTTTGAAAGATCAGTGTTGTGTCCTGAATCCCTCTGTCATTGACCTCCAAATTTCTGACCATTTCCTTGTTTCTTTCGAACTTGATACAGACAAACCTCCACTCCCAAAAAAGTTCATTCAGTGTCGGAATCTAAAACATTTAGATCGAGATGCGTTTAGACGTGATTTGTCAAATTCTGATCTCATACAGAATCCACCGTCCGATATTAGCAAACTCATTGACAAATATAACTGTGTCCTCATTGAACTCTTAGATAAATATGCCCCTCTTAGATCTAAGCGTGTAACAGATCGCCCTGTTACACCATGGTCTGTAACACCGGAAGTTATTGCTGCGAAGAAAGCCAGGCGCCGTGCTGAGAGAGCCTGGAGACGCTTCCATCTTGAAATCCACAGGCAAATTTACTGTGTTGCGAGAAATAAAGTGACGTCTTTGATAAGGCAGGCCAAACAGATGTCACTGAACTCTCAAATCCAGGATTCAATGTCTGACACAAGATCACTGTACAGACTCATGTCCCGCCTTCTTGGTAAGTTAGTTGAGCGTGCTGTATGCACACGACTTTCTGAACATCTTGATAAACATGACCTTCATGATCATCTACAGTCCGCCTACCGTAGTCATCATAGCACCGAGACTGCATTGCTGAAAGTGATCAGTGACATTCGGCTTGGCATCGATAACAAGAATCTCGCAGTCTTGGCACTTCTTGACCTAAGCAGTGCATTTGACTACATCGATCACTGCAAACTCCTGGAACGTCTGAGGTTGGAATTTCTCATCGATGGAACAGCTTTAGAGTGGTTTAAATCATACCTGTCCGATAGAAGTCAGTGTGTAATCAATGACAAGTTGTCATCTGACCCATCATATCTTACGTGTGGGGTTCCACAAGGATCCGTCTTAGGACCGGTTCTTTTCACCTTGTATATAAAGGAGCTTGGAAGTGTCGTGGAAGGACATGAAGCGGACAGACATCACTATGCTGATGACTCTCAAGTCTACAGATCCATGGAGTCAAGGCCACTTCAGGCGCACAGGGCTTTGAGTGAATTGAGCACTTGTTGTGAAGATATCAAGGCGTGGATGTATTACAACAAACTAAAACTGAATGGTGACAAGACGGAATGCATTGTCCTAGGGCCACAGAAAAGGAGATCACAGTGTGGTCTTACATGTTTTAGGTTTGATAATACAAACATCCAAATCGCTGACAAGGTCAAAGACCTTGGTGTGATTATCGACTCAGATGTGTCACTGGATGATCACGTTTCCCATCTAGTCCAGAGCTGCTTTGCTCAGTTGCGTACTATTGGACATATCCGACCATATCGCACCACCGAATCTGCCACCACTCTTGTCCTGTCTCTAGTTATGAGCAGGATTGATTACTGTAACTCCCTTCTCGCTGGTGCCACTAAGACACAGATAAGGAAACTTCAGCGTGTGGAAAACGCTGCTGCACGTATAGTGACCCAGTCACCTAAATCTGATGACGCTCTGAAACTCCTACATTCTTTACACTGGCTGCCCATTCACTACAGGATTCAATTCAAGCTTCTGTGCCTCACTTTCCGCTGTCTGTCTGGATCTGCCCCTTCGTATCTGGCCAAGTCCCTCACACAGCACCGCCCATGTCGCTCTCTCCGTTCACAGGATAAACGTTTCCTAGTTATCCCCACTGTAAGGACTTCTACGTATGGTGAAAGGTCCTTTTCGTATGCAGCCTCTGCAGCCTGGAATCAACTACCTCAATATCTACGTGACTGTACAGAACTTTCTAATTTTAAATCCTTACTAAAGACTCACTTTTTCAGATTAGCTTATGAGTGTAAACGATAATACATTGCATTGTTTCCATGTATCTCTCTAATCTTTTATTCTCTCCTATAGTCTGTTTGTATGTACATCTATGTCTTGCGCTTTGAGCATGTTGTACATGGAAAACAGCGCATTACAAGCATGCTATTATCATTGGGTGGCTGGTAAGGGTATAACTGTATCATTGGGTGACTGGTTTTGGTATAACTGTATAATTGGGAAACTGGTGTTGGTATAACTGTATCATTGGGAGACTGGTGTGGGCATAACTGTATCATTGGGTGGCTGGTGAGGGTATAACTGTATCATTGGGTGACTGGTGTTGGTATAACTGTATCATTGGGTGGCTGGTGAGGGTATAACTGTATCATTGGGTGACTGGTGTTGGTATAACTGTATCATTGGGAAACTGGTGTTGGTATAACTGTATCATTGGGAGACTGGTGTGGGCATAACTGTATCATTGGGAGACTGATGTAGGTGTACCTGTATCATTGGGAGACTGGTGTGGGTATAACTGTATCATTGGGAGACTGACATGGTTATAACTGTATCATTGGGATACTGCTGTGGGTATAACTGTAGCATTGGGTGGCTGGTGTGGGTATAACTGTAGCATTGGGTGGCTGGTGTTGCTATAACTGCATCATTGGGAGACTGGTGTGGGTATAACTGTATCATTGGGAGAAGGACATGGGTATGACTGTATCATTGGGAGACTGACATTGGTATAATTGTATCATTGGGAGACTAGTGTGGGTATAACTGTAGCATTGGGAGACTGCTGTGGGTACCTCTGTAGCATTGGGAGACTGCTGTGGGTATAACTGTAGGCTGACTGACTGAGTTTGGGTTTACGCCGCTTTTAGCAATATTCCAGCAACATCACAGCGGGGGACACCAGAAATGGGCTTCACACATTGTACCCATGTGGGGATTCGAACCCGGGTCTTCGGCGTGACGAGCGAACGCTTTAACCACTAGGCTACCCCACCGCCCGTATAACTGTAGGATTGGGTGACTGGTGTGAGTAAAACTGTATCTTTGGGTGGCTGGTGTGGGTATAACTGTATCTTTGGGTGCCTGGTGTGGGTATAACTGTATCTTTGGGAGACTGGTGTGGGTATAACTGTATCATTGGGAGACTGGTGTGGCTATAACTGAATCATTGGGAGCCTGGTGTGGGTATAACTGTATCTTTGGGAGACTGCTGTCGGTATAACTGTATCATCGGGAGACTTGTGTTGGTATAACTGTATCATTGGGAGACTGGTGTGGGTATAACTGCATCATTGGGAGACAAGTGTGGGTATAACTGTATCATTCGGAGACTGGTGTGGGTATAGCTGTATCATTGGGAGACTGATGTGGGTATAACTGTATCATTGGGAGACTGGTATGGGTATAACTGTAGCATTGGGAGACTGCTGTGGGTATACCTGTAGCATTAGGAGACTTCTGTGGGTATAACTGTAGGATTGGGAGACTGAGTGTGGGTATAACTGTATCATTAGGAGACTGCTGTGGGTATAACTGTAGGATTGGGAGACTGCTGTGGGTATAACTGGATAATTGGGAGACTTATGTGGTTATAACTGTAGCATTGGGTGGCTGGTTTGGGTATGACTGCATCATTGGGAGAGTGGTGAGGGTGTACCTGTATCATTGGGAGACTGGTGTGGGTATAACTGTATCATTAGGAGACTGACATGGTTATAACTGAATCATTGGGAGACTGACATGGGTAAAACTGTAACATTGGGAGACTGATGTGGGTATAACTGTAGCATTGGGAGACTGGTGTGGGTATAACTGTATCATTGGGAGACTGGTGTGGTTATAACTGTAGCATTGGGCGACTCAAGCCCATTGCTTACCCCAATTACTCTTTGTACTTCATATACCGATGTACTCGCCTTAAAAAGAGTGCTATTCTATTCTTAAATCTCATTCTCTGTGTATAATATAATGCCAAGCAAATTAAATTTTTGTGGCAAAGATCTAGTGCCCTTATATGTGGAATTTCGTATTTTGTTGTCAAAGTTTGCTTTCGCCTATTCATCTGAGATACAATGGGGATTTGTGCTCAGCGCAATATTGGAAATATTTTTTTTTTCCAAACTACTTTATGCCCTGAATGGGGTCCGCACTTCACTGAAAATAAGATAATTATCTCCAGCTTGGAATTTGGTGATGTGCATGTAAGTAGCTCCAAGTTACTTCTCCTACACCTTCTTTTCCGATATGATGTAAACAACCCACACAACCCTGTGATAACGTATTTGTCAGTGCAGCTAGGAAGAGGACTGGACATTGGCCACCCACTCCCTCTCGCAAATTTTGTTCATGTTTTATGGTTCGTGAAGAGTTGATTTGTTCAATATGTTCCTTAAACAATTTCCTTGCCTTCGCGTGTGTTTGCAACGGGTGTCACGGTTTGGACAATATGCACTTACCTTTTCGCGACCACCTGCTATCATGTATGTTTTACAGTTATTCATAATATCACATACTCGTAATGTAGTCTGGATCAAACAATCTACTCCGCTTTTAGCAGAGATTTCTTATGAATGACAAATGAATGGGGTTTGTTTAATCGGGACAGTTATTGGAGAAAAGAAAACGCCCACTTGTTACTTAGTTTCTCACTCTGAAGAAAGACATTTCAGAAAGCATTTAGGATTATGACACAGTTATTACTGAAGATCAGTATATTTATACTTTGTGTCACCTATTCCATGTATTCAATGTAAGGAGCACACTTAGCCATTCTATAAACATTGCTTACGGTAAGAAATTGAAAACATCTAGAAATGTGAAAAGCATACGCCATATAATTATTATCCAAATCAGTTATATTGGTTATTGCCTTTTCCCAAAACATAATTTCATCAGAATCAGATTCATATGTTTACCCAAAAAACTCTGCTTGATATGTGTATATTTCAAACATAGTTTGTAAATTGAAAGTTATGGTATACAGAAAGTCAACGGAAAATATGTAAACGTGTTTGTTATTAAGTCGTGTGTTACGTGACTTAAAACATATCACTTCAACTTGAGAATGAAAATAAGAATGAAAGTGTATCAACTGTTAGGATCAGGATGAAAAACCGAGGTACCTACATCGACATGTATCGTACATGACGTAGCCGACGCCGCCGACGCTTTTGGGGGTGTTCTCCGAGTTGACAACATATCCTGCACACTGGCTGGCTGTCTTTGAAAACTGAAAACTCACACATTTCTCATCTCTGAAACAATCGGATGCACATTCCAGTCGTGAACTTGCATCGTGCATCCACTTCACCTCCACTGACAACTTCTTGTCCGCGTAGCCGTCAATCATCTTGGCAATACAGTTACAGTGATTATGGCAAATGATTACTCTCATCGAGAGTAACAAAGTTAATGTTTGTGTCCAAAGTATTACATATGGAACTGTCATTTTGATGCCACCTAGCGACATGGAAAATCTAACAATCAATACAGAAGCCAGTGTAAAGTTGTGTACCTGATGATGACCATGAATTATTCCATTACGGTAATGTTTCGATCAATCAGTTTACAACCACCAGTGAGTCGTCCTTCGGGAGATAAGTACACAGTTATGTCTATTCGAACCCGTTGCTTTTTCCTACCATGGCATCTTCCAGTTTGCTATTGTCCAAATGTACAAGCATGACGTTCTATATTTGGCCATACCCTTTTTACGACACAGACTTGTAATCTAAACATTGACACAATCAGACATTCAGTGAGCACCACGACACAAACAGACATTCAGTCAGCACCACGACACAGTCAGACATTCAGTCAGCACCATGACACAGTCAGACATTCAGTCAGCACCATGACACAGTCAGACATTCAGTCAGCACCATGACACAATCAGACATTTAGTCAGCACCACGACACAGACAGACATTCAGTCAGCACCACGACACAGTCAGACATTCAGTCAGCACCACGACACAATCAGACATTTAGTCAGCACCACGACACAGACAGACATTCAGTGAGCACCACGACACAGTCAGACATTCAGTCAGCACCACGACACAATCAGACATTCAGTCAGCACCACGACACAGTCAGACATTCAGTCAGCACCATGACACAGTCAGACATTCAGTCAGCACCATGACACAAACAGACATTCAGTCAGCACCACGACACAAACAGACATTCAGTCAGCACCACGACACAGTCAGACATTCAGTCAGCACCACGACACAATCAGACATTCAGTCAGCACCACGACACAAACAGACATTCAGTCAGCACCACGACACAGTCAGACATTCAGTCAGCACCATGACACAGTCAGACATTCAGTCAGCACCATGACACAGTCAAACATTCAGTCAGCACCATGACACAAACAGACATTCAGTCAGCACCACGACACAAACAGACATTCAATCAGCACCACGACACAGTCAGACATTCAGTCAGCACCACGACACAGTCAGACATTCAGTCAGCACCACGACACAGTCAGACATTCAGTCAGCACCACGACACAGTCAGACATTCAGTCAGCACCACGACACAGTCAGACATTCAGTCAGCACCACGACACAGTCAGACATTCAGTCAGCACCACGACACAGTCAGACATTCAGTCAGCACAACGACACAGTCAGACATTCAGTCAGCACCACGACACAGTCAGACATTCAGTCAGCACCACGACACAGTCAGACATTCAGTGAGCACCACGACACAGTCAGACATTCAGTCAGCACCACGACACAGTCAGACATTCAGTCAGCACCACGACACAGTCAGACATTCAGTCAGCACCACGACACAGTCAGACATTCAGTGAGCACCATGACACAGTCAGACATTCAGTGAGCACCACGACACAATCAGACATGTCAGTGAGCACCATGACACAGTCAGACATGCCAGTGAGCACCACGACACAATCGGACATTTAGTGAGCACCACGACACAGTCAGACATTCAGTCAGCACCACGACACAGTCAGACATTCAGTCAGCACCACGACACAGTCAGACATGCCAGTGAGCACCATGACACAATCAGACATTTAGTGAGCACCACGACACAGTCAGACATTCAGTCAGCACCACGACACAGTCAGACATTCAGTCAGCACCACGACACAGTCAGACATTCAGTCAGCACCACGACACAGTCAGACATTTAGTGAGCACCACGACACAAACGGACATTCAGTCAACCACGACACAGTCAGACATTCAGTCAGCACCATGACACAGTCAGACATTCAGTCAGCACCACGACACAGTCAGACATGCCAGTGAGCACCACGACACAGTCAGACATTCAGTCAGCACCACGACACAGTCAGACATTCAGTCAGCACCACGACACAATCAGACATTTAGTGAGCACCACGACACAGTCAGACATTCAGTGAACACCATGACACAAACGGACATTCAATCAGCACCACGACACAGTCAGACATTCAGTCAACCACGACACAGTCAGACATTCAGTGAGCACCATGACACAGTCAAACATTCAGTGAACACACGACAGAGTCAGACATGTCAGTGAGCACCACGACACAGTCAGACATGCCAGTGAGCACCACGACACAATTAGACATTCAGTGAGCACCATGACACAATTAGACATGTCAGTGAGAGTGAGCACTTCATCCAGTCTTCTATAGTACCCCAGACCTTGGGGACTTATTCTTCATTAACATCAACAATCTATTTAAAAATTCCCACGCTTTGCCAATATAACAAAACCCTTCAAGGCAATTGCTCATTTACTATACATGAGCCCGTCCTTGTCCGCCGTGACAACAATGCATTAGATGTACATGTATCGTAAAAGAGTCTTCGCTTAGAGATATCTTGTGTTCACCGTTAGCCCCACTATGTAAACAATCAAGGTATAGTATGACCAGAAATTATTGAGAATTTAAGGAATATGTTTAATTGGATTTCTAGTATAAACAACCATGACCAGCTATCAAGTGCTTGGTTTCATTCAGAGAGACAACTCCGTTAATCCTTTTCCATTAGTTTGTGAATAATAATAATAATAATAATAATAATGCATTTGTTTAAGCGCCTAATGTCCAACCAGTGCTGCTCAGTGGCGCTGCGCAGAGAAAGTGGAGAAACTAGTAGGTAGCTAGAAAGAGATGAGTTTTTAGTTGGCTCCTAAATGCTTCCAGGGAAGATACTGCTCTCAGTTCAACTGGCAGAGAGTTCCACAAAGCTGGTGCAGCAGCACTGAAAGCTCTGTCTCCCATGGATGTTTTTGTAGCTGGCATTTTCAGGCTGCCTCTTTTCTCAGACCTCAAGACACGAGTTGGACGATAGAATTCGATGATGTCTTTTAGGTAAGCTGGTGAATTGATGTCATAGAGGGTTGAGTAGGTGATGCAAATTATTTTGTACTGTATTCTCCTCTTTACTGGGAGCCAGTGCAACGACCTCAGCACAGGGGTGATGTGTTCCTGACATTTTGTCCTGGTTATGATCCTGGCAGCTCTGTTTTGTACAAGCTGGAGATGTTGGATTGCTGCTGCTCCTGACACGAGGGAGTTACAGTAGTCTAGGCGTGAGATGACGTATGACTATACTAAACGTTTGGTTGTGTCAATGTCCAAATAGCGGCGGATTTTTCCTATTCGGCGGAGATGAAAGGTTGCTGATCTTGCTGCTGTTAGGGATTGTGATTCTGGCGACATTGAAGAACGGAAAACAACACCAAGATTCTTCACCTGGGGCACAGGGCAGATAGACTGATCTCCAACTGTGAGACTACACTCGTCTATTTTGCGAAGCTGCTGCTGATGAAGAGTTATCCCCATTTGTTTACTTGCTAGCAGACAACACTTTCAGTGATCCTCAGTATGGATGATTTAGAGAAGAGGAAGTTGATTTTAGAGTATTATAACAAGGACATCAGATCAGCTAAAGTGATTTCAAGTAGAACAGGCATCCCTTTGTCCACTGTTTATCGTGTTTTGAAAAATATTGCAAATGGATATGGCACTGAGCACCAGGGAGGCGCAGGTAGGCCCAGAAAATTGACTGTCGGTGACAGGAGGCGGCTTGGTATTCTTATTTCTAAAAACAAATGAAGGAGTTTAGAAAACTTAAGGCTGGGTATGATTGATAGAGGAACTGTGGCTGTCTGTAAGGAGACGATTAGAACTGAGCTGCATGCAATGGGTTGGCAGAAAAGTCGAGGAATTCCATCACCGATCATGCAACCTGAACAAAAGGAACGAAGGTTGAACTGGTGCTTACAGCATAGAAATTGTAACTGGGACAATGTGATTTTCTCAGATGAAAGTTCTGTGTGGCTGTTTCCTAATACACTGAAATTCTGGACCAAACAAACTGAAAAACCTTTGTATCAGCGCCCAAAGTACAGTCCGAAATTTAACGTGTGAGGTGGCATATCTGTGTTAGGGGCAACGCCCTTCTGTGTATTTGAAGGGAATATGAACAGTGAGCGGTACACATATATTCTCGAGGGACATTTACTTCCATCTGCTCACGTGTTCTATGGAAATTTTTGTATTTTCCAGCAGGACAACGACCCAAAACATCGTTCAAAGCACTCACAGGCCTGGTTTCGGACCCAAAATATGACATTATTAGATTGGCCAAGCTATAGCCCTGACCTAAATCCAATAGAAAATGTTTGGGGACTTATGAAGGAAAGTGTCAATAAGAAATATCTGACAAATATTGCTGAAATGAAAGAACAGGTGGTCCGATATTGGGACAGCATGTTATACCCACGACTTTCTAACTTCTTTGATCAGTAGTATGCCCCGCCGCATTGAAGCCTGCATTGCTGCTTATGGTGACTTGACAAAATACTGATTATTCACCTGTCTTTGAATCTGGAGTTATGTTCTGCTAATATTCACATTTAATACGTGAGTAATGATTAAAAAAATATATATAAATTACAATCTGTAAATTCTCAATAATTTCTGGTTGTACTATACGTCGGTACATGAAGATGCTATATTGAAACTCTGTCAAACTTATAGAAAACACATATGAGCCATTTCTCAGTAAATATGTTCACTTATCTTGGCTCGACATAAAGTTATCAGACAGTGCTTGAATTTCCGAGGTGATCAGTTATCTCCCTTTACCGCTTCGCCAATAGATTGCGCCAATCACTACGGTCCTAAGTGTACTTCCGGTATAATCATAGCGTTCGAAGTTTGTAGCCCGGTTGATTTCAAATGCGCAGCAATTTCTATGCCTGAGACGTTCTGCTGTGCCCTGGGATGCTGCAATAGAGGTGGTTCGACGTGTCCGAGAGGTGAAAATTTGCTGAAATGGTGGTTGACTGTCATTCGAAGTAGTGACGAATTAAACCAAGGCATGCCGAGGTAGCCGTCAGCTCTCGCTGGTCTCACTCTCAGTGTTGTGTGCCATTTCCTCTTCTGACAGAGCGATTTCATTACTGTAACTAATAATGGTAAGTACCAGGTATTTTGTAAATTTTAAAGTTTGAAGAAAACGTTTGTTATTGTTATTCTCCTTGCCAATTTTTTTGAATCGATTCGGGGAAAAAGAATATGTTGCTTCAAGAGGGACACATGCTGTACA